GATGACTTTTGAGGGAAAAGATTAAACTTGAGCTTGTCCCACTCTTCTCAATGGAGCTTCTAGTTCAGTCTCAGAATATTCTTCAGCAAAATGCCCTTCAGAAGTGAATGGATGCAGTTCACAATGTCTAGCTTTTGGTTTCAGGCCCTCTTTGTATCAGCTGAGTGGCTTTTTTTGTAGGCTCTTAACTTCAAAATGTAGGTTTTACCTCACAAAACTAATGTTTACAAAGCACAACTTGTGACTCCCTAAACCTATCAGTTTGTTCAGTGGAGCTGTTTGTAAATATAAAAAGGACTCTTTTATAACACAATTTTGGTTACTACCTGTTGTCAGCTACTTGTGTGGCTCCTGCGGATATGTTAATACTGAGACTTGAAACAAGCTCAATACCTCGCCTGACTACGGGAGTTTTACCAGGCTATTGCTTGAGGATTTGTCACATGAACTTGGCAAGTGCAAATGGGGCAGGGATAAACGTGGAGGCAGCAAAATGAAGTAGAGGCCCACCAAATCTCTTGCATCTAAAAGTGTCTGGTGAAGGGAAGCTTGTGTCAGGTGCTTCCCAGGTGATGTGGAATAACTTCTTAAATGTCATAGCCTGTACATGGCTGTATAGTTTCCCTTCCCTTTTCAGGCATCTTTAGCTGCACAAGCATTATCAAAAATGCGGTAAGATGGACAGAACTGCTTGTACAAGCATTGCCCAAATGTCATAGGGCTCTAGCTAGTTTGCAGCTGATGCCTTTTGTCACATCTGTCTCAAAGCATAAATTGCATCTCAAAAGCTGTTTCATTACACTAAAATTGCTGTGTTACGTGATTTGTCAGGTACTAGAAACACATTGGGATTGTTCAGTGTTTCCCTTAAGAAAAAGTTACTCAAACTGGAACTAATCTTTGACCATTGACAGCTTTGGATTAGGCTACTGATCTCTTGCTGCAAGTTGATTTTTTGCATAGCAAAATGTTAAGCCTATTAGAAACAAAGCTGGCAGAAAGATGGTCGTTTTGACCACTGAGCAGTGAGAATGGTCACTTCAGGGTTTTTTTGCTCCTTAAGTGTGAGATTATTCTAATGGCCTGTTACAGGGTTAATGTAAGATTACATTCAGTTTCCTGCCACAAGTGTGGTGGTATTTAAAGTCAAGAATTACTAGACTACATTTACATCCAGTAAGCAGACAGACGTGTGGTGTGTGTTTACTTAATTCGTATTTTCTTTCATTAGCCTGGAAAAGCTGCCCCCACTTTTGCATTTATTGCAGCAGCAAATTCAGAAGCTATATAAGCCTACAGGTTCTGGAACAGCTTTCTGGAATGAAGTAATGAGATAAAGGGCTTTGACAGTGTTTTACAAAAGGAAAAAATGTTTAGCATGCGTGTTTGAGGGATGGTACTAGCCTGAGTGGTGTTTATTCCAGAATTCCTTTTGTGGAACAAACCTACTTTTTGATTTTAGTAATCTTTGCATATAAGCCATTCTTTCCCAGACTGTATGGCCAATGCTACTATTTGTCCCTTTGTGTATCATTATCACACAAAAAGGACATTTCTGTGTATAGGTTTGGCCTTTGTTTGCAGCTGTACTAACTGATGTCATGCTGGTGTTGTGAGAGCGAGGCCTCAGCTTGCAGGTGCCTTCCATACCTGCTAGGCTACTTCTGCTTTGCTGCAGGAGGTGAGCGTGACTGCGAGGGAAAAGGCTGAGCCGTACAGGGCCTCACACTGTAACTGGAAGTTCCTCTAGCCCTTTTCCTGCTGTGGGGCACGGGGGCTGGGTCTTTGTGTTACTTTGGTGTTTCAGTCTTCCTGGTGGAGTAGAGATGATCTCTGTGCTGCCGGGAATACGAAGGAGACCACCGCGGTTCCATCTGCAGTGGTACTGTCGTGGTACATCGTCAGTACTGTCGTGTTCAGATCTGTGCACCGCAGCTGGGGGCTCACCGGGCTGACTGCACGGTGCTGGTGCTGTGGAGGGTGCATCAGCTCTACAGGTTAACTGAAGGAAGCTAAGCAGTAAGTGTAACCTCTTTTACACAGCTTGTTGAAATGCTTTTTACAGCTGAAGATATCTATGACCTAGTTCTGCTTGGAGAGGATTTACATATGGAAAGGTCCCTTAATTTGAGCACGGTTGTTGTATGCTGCAGCACCTACTCTACAAGCTGCTTTTCTGGACTCCTGAAAACTATTTAGCTACTGCTTTTAAGCCAAATAAATCAAAGATCCAGAACCTTACTACAGTGGTACAGCCCCAGGTGCTGGTTTGGGGGACAAAAGTAGAGGGTTTTGGTTGGTGGTTTTTTTTGTTTCTGGAGGATAGCCCATGTTTCTTGTTTGATAAGAGCTTGCAGGTAATTTGCTCTGATTTAGGCAAGAACTGTATATGCTGCAGTGCCCCACAACGGTGGTGGCTTGAGACCAGGGGATCTGGTAACAGAAGTTACTGGGTGAATGCATTACAGAATCACAAAGGTAATAACATGCATCGTGTTGTCCCTGAACTCTTGAGTAACAAAATAGGAATCAAAGTGCTTTTTTCTTCATTCCCGTGGACAGTGAGGCAAGGTACTGGCTAAATGGTTTTCTGCAGATGGAGAATTCTAAAATGGTTAGTGATAAAATGGAGTTGGAAATTCTTCTGTATGCCCTGGCAGTGGCTCGGAGCCAGTCAGTGAAGCCGAACAGAATTGAAGGGCTGTTCAGAACAGTTACTTAACTGCCTAATTCTCCCTGCCCCCCATTCCTTTAGGTTGTAATGCTTGACAGTCAGAATTGTAAACCAACTAGCTTGTAATGAAATTGGCAGAGTAACCTAGGTGAAGCAGCTCAGCCGTGAGACCCCTGTGACAGGTGGCTCAGCTGGAAAGACTAACAAGGAGCCCTGGTAGTGCAAGGCCTGTTTCAGCAATTACCTTCCCCTCTCCCTGGCTTGCCACTGACAAGTTGCTTCTTCCCAAGAGCTGGAATCCTTAATGATTGCATCCCTCCTCACAGCACCTCACTCAGTGATCAGTATTTGCCCTGATGAGTATTTGGACTCGGTTTTAAACTGTCGTGGGAATGATTGTGTTCTGATTCCTCGTTTTCTCGAGGGATCTGTAATGCGCAGCTCCACCACGGTACAAGTACCTGTGTGTCAGTCTGAACGCATTCATGCAATAGTATTGAGGTCAAAACAGCACGAAACGCTTGGCTGATCCAATATTGCATGAAGTGGAAACCTGCAGTTACTTTCACTGATAGAGACAAACTGTTCTGCGATGTGTCACGTACCGCTATGTGAAAAGTGTGGCCCTCTGTGAGGACAGACCTCTAGACATCAAGGAGTATGGTGTAGGTGTTTGGTATGTTTAAAAAAAGAACAAGATTGGAAAAAAACCAAAACCCAGCACAATATGGGAGGGACAGTCTCATTTGCAGCTGTAAGATAGGGAGTTTATAAATGTCTGTCAGTTACTGGATATGTAATCTGTCATACTAATAAGACTCACAAGATGATCTCAAGTCATTTTATTTGCTTGCTTGTAAGGGAATTATGCCTAAATCTGCAGTGATGGAACCGGGTCAACCCCGCAGGAGATCTGTTTGCTCTGATGCCAGGTGGAACCATGTACCATTTGTCCTTATTACGCCAATTCTTTCCCATTACTTCCTTTGAGACTCAGCTAAGGTAAGATACAGATTTTTCAACATGTAGTTTAGGGTGAAATTGGTAAAGAACACTTCCAAATATTAAGTCTGATGTTTGACAGTTTATTCCCAAAGCTAAGCAAGCTTAATGGTGACAATTCCTTCTGAGATCATCTCCAAGCCTAAGTTGTGAAATAAATTATGAGGTCAACATGCTGCTGCTGGTGGAGGGATAACAGACAAGGTTGTCTTAATCAGTTTAATGAACCACTTCTAAAATAACTGGCCTGCATATTAATTATGTCCCTCTTACTAATTAGGCAACACTAAAATACTGTGTTGAATAGTCTGTTCTAAGGGAGAATTCTCTTGTGTTACTTCAGGAAGGTTGGGTTTTTTTCTTTGTTTCTCTCTCAGGCTCAAATGGGAACAGGAGGATACTGTTGTTGCTATGTCTGTTTGCCACTCTTAATTTGCCTGGACACTTTTCAATTGTAATTATGTAGATATGATGAATGCTAAGTGATAGAATAAGACCACTTAACTATGGTAGGTTCCTGGGGAAGCCAGCTTTGATGGAGGGAAGTCATGTTAAATTGCAGTGGGACAGTTACACGAGGACGGAGCTGCCCCAGCACACAGAGCTGGGAGTGTTCTCAATCTTTTGGCACGTAGCGGTGCCGCCTCCGTTCTCACCCTCTGCTTTTTATTTCAGATAATAGTCAGTCACTCTTGTGTTCCAGTGAGGAGGGTGGGCTTATAGTAGTTGGAGGAGCAGTTCAAATCCTTGCTTCTATTTCCTTTACCTCTTGCACTCTACTAACATGGGTAACCTATGGAAGAAAACCAGTAAACTTCAGAATGAGAAACAGAATGACTGGAGATGCTAGAACAGCAATTGCTAAACCCACTAGGTGTGTCTACATGCTGTGATGGATCCTCTCTGTCTGCTTGTCCTAGTAAGGGCAGAGAAGCTGGAGATGCTTAAGACTCATAATTGATCTCCAGGCAGAGGAAGCTGTTAAAGTGAGAAACAACTCGATCCAGTGAAGTGTATAGTGCTGGTGAGCAAAGATTAAAAACAAATCCCCCAAACCCCCAAACTTTGCACCTGTAGTTAAGTGTCTTCTCAGAACTGCTTTAGCAAAGTACTGTGTTTCTATAAATGGGATTCAGGGATGATTCTGAGCATGAGTGCAAGTACTGATGGGAAAGAGCATTACAAATGTACTGCTGAAGAGATGTTGCTACTATCAGAAGTTCAACGAGCCACAGGCATGTAAGCCATGTACGCTTCTGAGACAGCCTCAGAGAAAAAGCTTTTGTTGAGAATGTGTATACCACAAATGACTGTTCTAAACTTGCAGCAAAAATACATGCTGATAGCCTGAGCCCACTGTAGGGTTTTTTTTTTAGGGGACTTCCATTGAAGGGTGAGTTATCAGCTATATCACTTGTTTGAAAGTAATTTTGGAAAGATTTCTGATATATTAGTAAACTTGTTCAACTTCATATTGAAAATCAGTCTGCATGAACAGGTCACTTAACTCACTGGAAATTATTTCTTTAGGTTTAGGAAAGCACAAAAAACCACCCTAACTGCACATTTAATCACAAAATTCAAATCACTAAAGACAATGTGTCATCTTCCATGCCAAAAAGAATTATGCATGCCCTTTACTAGCGTAGATTAACTTTTCCAAATCTTCCACCAGAGAAGAAAAACTGAGGTCATGTTTTATGTAAACTTGCACTGCATACGTAGCATCGCTGTTTTCATTACAGTGCGATAGCCTTCCCAAGATTGTTTATTGTCAGTTTGAAGAAAGCAGTTAAACCCGTCCACAACAGCGCATGAGGAGACAAGCCTTCAGCATGTCATGCAGGTGAACAGCAGCTTAACTCTACCACATTTGACCCAAATCAGACATCCACACCCTTAGCCTGATGAAAGGCTCACCAAATTTATTTTGATACATCTCTAGCTCTTAGCTGATGATTTTAAAACAAATACAGCCAGAACTTCAGGTAGGTAGAGGTGAAAAGCCCTGATGATTTAACTGCATTTTCACATTCAGGAATCACAGGTGATGAATTCTCAGGTGAATTTGTGTACAAGGGATCCACCACACCCCCTCTCGACCACTCCATGCTGGCAAGCTTTTACTGAGTGCAAAGAGATTACAAAACTATTAAATAATCTTTAAAAATGTAGTTTCAGAAAGCTTTATTGAATACTTTTGAATTTGTTACAGCATCGGTAAATTACATTCTGTATTAGCCTGCTTTACACTTTCAAACTGTTTTCACGCTGTTATAGGAACTCTATACTACCATCCTACAGATCAAGTAGTTTAGATTTTAAGTGTATATAGTGGTGTTCGAATGTGACTGTGACGGGCCTGAAGACACAGTTGCTTTGTCACGTGATGACACAATGGGCAAAGAAAACAAAGATCTCCTAAAACGCTGTCATGCTGGTAAACCATATGGCTAGTCCAAAGGCTCTTCCCTTCTGCTATCCTGACCAAAAAAAGCCAGGTACATCCCCGTGCTATTATGCTCTGTTGTTCATTCCCAAAATAGGTAGTAATTTTAAGCTTGTAGCAATTCTGGTGGTAATTAAGAAATTTGTTCGTTTATTATGGAAGTGAGAGTAAATCACTTCATATAGACTATCACAACTTTGTGCAGATAATGTCTCATTGCATAAATGAGAAAATGATTCCATATGGCATTCTTAAACCCAACATTATTTTTTAAATTACTTATATTAATTTCCTAGATACTTTGTATGTCTACCTTGTGCAATTAACTTTCCTGTCGCCTTATTTGTTAAATCCACGCTGGCAAATGCAATATTTCTTCCTTGCTTCAAAATCTGAGCTGTAATCAGTATCTCTTCTCCAATCTTAGCAGCAGAAGTGTATCTTCAATGAAGAACAAAATTAACAGGTAAGAGGCTGTACAGAGCACAAATCCAAGAATATCCCTTTATTTTAGATTATCATGAAGGGAATTAGCAACAGTGAGTAATAAAGACACATCTCCCTCCAACTGCCTGCTTGCAAATCCCCACTTTTTAAAGTCCTTGAGTTCCTCTAAGTACTGCAGTGGTGATTCGGTGTAAGGGTTTGCTGAGAAAATAGAGGAGAGAAAGAAACCCATTGGCTTGGTTCTGAGGAACCAAGTTCTGTTCCATTTTCGAACAGAAACAATTGGGTATCAAAGATATCAGACAAATGTTCAGTTCCAAGTCTGATTCCAGCCACTGCTGGCTCCCTACAGCCTTTCTAAACCAGTCTGGCTGGTTCAGCTGCAGAATCTCTCTCTTACAAAGGCTCCAGAAGGTCACTTCTGTACGGAACCGAAGCATAGGTTAACTGCTTCCCATACTCTGGTCAGAAACAAGTCATGGAAATCTGGGAGGCCTTCAAACTTCCCAGGCTTAACGCTGTTTCCATTCATTAGATAACTCTTTGGTTTTATTTACATGAGTAGGAGGGTGTGCTTTTAAAACACACTCTGCAGGGAATGGGAAGAAATTCCTCCACAAAATGCCTGGAAAGAATTAGGAGGAACATGATTCAACCATGATCTGAGGTAAGGGAACAATATTCAAATGTTAGAGGAGAATGTGTAATTGCTGGACATAAATCTCACTGAGATAAATTTCATTAACCAGTCCATTTTTACACGTGACACCATGTCAAAAGTATGTCAGTCACACTTAATGCTGTGATGCAACACAAGCCCCATTAGTTGACAGGGAGCAGGGTTTCAGTCTTGTTTCATTCTCAGAGGCTGCTGCTGATCCTCTTAAAAAAAAGTTTCTCTGTTCCCCTCTGTTCTTTCCATTACTGAAATAGCTTCCTTGTGACAACCCTTTAAAAAGCTCCTTCCCAAAAAGGAAAAAAGTTGCATTATAGCATATATCACTTGTTCACTGAAAGCAGCAGTCTGGGTTAAACAAAGCTATTAATACTGCTTCAGATAACATTTCCTAAGGGTTATGCTACTCAGTCATTTTGGAGCACCTCCAGAGACAGCACTTTCTTAAGATTTTAGCTTGGGTAGGCATACTTGATAGTGTAAATAATTCCGATGTTGGCCTTCTGTTATACTACTGTCGGTTTAAAAAACCTAATCATAGGAGAATTTCATGTTTTCATTTCCAGTAATTTCCTGGTCATGACAATGGCTGTATAAAGCTTAAAAAGATGCTCCAGTCCCACCCACCCAGTGGAGAAATCAGAAGGTGCTGGGGGAGAAAGGAGGGAACCTGGTAAAGATACAGAACACTCCACACACACTTTTAAAGCTTTTTTTTTTTTGTTGGGTTGGTTTTTTTTAAAGACAGTACTTTTTCCAAGATTTTTTAATGCTCTGTGTTAGTTATTCCAAGTAGGATTACTTTAGTTCCAATCAGTCATCATCTCTTAATTAAAACTAAGGAAGCAAAGCTGACAAGCTATAATAGCATGATCAAAGGTTTCAGAACAACTCTTTTTTTTTTAAAGACACTGTGCTTTAAATTTGCAGTACAGGAAGAACTATTCTCAATATAAAACTGTCTTTAAATGACCCAGAGCAAAGGAATCATCCTCCAGTGAGAAATTCTGATTCAATCTGTAATTCACCTGCTATGTAAGCCTAAACCAGAGCTAAACAATCTCCTGTTTTAACATTTTTCCTGTTCTAACATTTTATGGGCTAATACTAAAAAAAGGGTTTATAGAAAGCTGGTTACTCTAGATTTTGGTGTTTGAGGATGCACTCTAACACATCTTCACAACTGAAGACAGAAGTTAAGCCAATTTTGTAAGACTAAAACTTACCACATTATCAACACCCCTTTACATTCTATGAATGAATGGGTATGGTCTCTTAAATGCTCTTAAAAACAAAAGCTTACAAAAGTTCAACTTGAATTCTGCAACTAAATGGCAATATGCCCAAATACATCCCCTCCTTAATTTATCAAAACAAGACTTCTGAAACCAAAGAAAACACCTTTTTTTAAGTGGGTACTACAGTACAGAAATTACGTACAATGGAATCAATACCGTGCTAGGGGAAGAAAAGTTAGTATATTCTGGTAAACATGGTAGATGATACCTACGTGATATTCATGTCCACGCTGACCCCAGGCACTCCTCTTTCTGTGTACAGCAATGCTGTTGTTGACACCACATCCACAAGCGTGGCTGTCAAACCTCCATGTAATGTGCCACCTCTGTTTGTATGCTCCTCCTCTACTTTCATTTCACAAACAATTTTTCCAGGAGTTGCGGAAAGAAGTTTCATCTGTATAACAAAAGGAATAAAAAGCTTACTGACAATAGTACCAACACCTGATACTGCCCTGAATCTAACTGAAAGTAAATTTTGTTTAATTCTGGACTCCTGAGACAAATTAAAAGATGGAAAATATAGTAATTCAATGTCACATTAGGGATTTCCATAAATTTTGAGCCAAAGATTGACATTTAAACTGTCAGCTTAACAAAACTTAATACTTGCTACAGTCTCAGGAATTGCTTTGAAGACAGCATTCTTCAATTTTCTTTTTGCTTGAATCTGTGACTGAAAAGCCACATTAGAGGGAACACAAAACTGCTCTGACCGTGCATACTGTAGTTGTGAAGGTGTATTTGTTAGCTCACAAAATGGAAATGAGACTGGCAGTAATTCATTAATCATTATACTAGAGCAACCTCAGTAAAAATCAGCATTTTGAAATGAGCCCTGGAAATGCTAATCAGTTTGGCATCCCTGAACTGAAATTCATACTCCTGGATAGAAGTATCCAAGGCAGTATCACACTGTACTACAGCATCATGACTTCCATATACGCATTTATTCCAGACCATAGGTGTTAAACAGAAAAATTGATACATCTCTGGTACCATGCTTCCCCTGTAACCAATGCAAGAAGCTGGATTTCTGAGACTAAGAAGTTACTACAGTTCAGTATTTTAAAATCTCTTTTTCAAGTTTCTTCAGTAAGTAGCACTACATTCAAAATCTGTAATATATTAAAAATCTGAAAACAGATGCAAAATTGGGGTAAGTTCAGCATGTTTATTTACACCTCTACCTAAGACTGTAAAGTATCTTTAGTCTGTGACAAGTGAAATGTGGGCATATTTATTATAATTCCTACTAATTTTCTAATTTTTTTACAAAGTTGTTTTTATATGTTTCCATACTGTATCAGCTGAGTTGATTTAAATCTTTTTAATCTTAAAAGGAATTAGGACTAAAATGTTTCCAGTTTCACTATTCCTTATTTATAATGCAGTATAAGAGCTCAGTTTCAGCCAATGTCCTTTTCTGATAGGCCAAAGTTTACCCAAATTTTGCAGAGAAATGATACTAAGATAAATGATGTACTACACAGTCCATCTACAAATGGAAAAAAGCTGGAATTAAGCAGAGAGGAAATCACTGAGGCAGTGTCCTAACATAGAAATAGCACCTTGATCAATGAAAATCCCAAGTTGTAACCAGGCATGCTGCGCTGCACTGACTGGATGCCTAAGATTCTGACAGAATTTCTAATGAGGACTTCACTGACACTTGACGCTGGGAGCAGATGGCTTCCACAACTGTCAGGGAGTGTTCAGATCCATCAGCGAGGCAAGGAAAGCATCTGGTTTCATTAGTCATTGCTCTGATCTGGTGCTAGCTGCCTGCTCTCCTTGACAAAAATAGTTCAGTATTTGAACGCTTCCAGGACTTAGCGAGAGCTGCTGGTTGTACTTCTCACAGTCCTTCTGTGCTTGTCCTCCCACACGTCTGTCTCGGTGAACAGTATATAGCTTCAGCTTCCAGCCTCTGCTACGATGCACTACTACTTTGAAGAAAGGGCTTTATAACCCACAGTTGTTAAGCCCTATGTAGATACCACATTGGAATTAAATCAGAAACTAAGTCTGATGCTGTAAGTAAAAAGTTTCAGACAAAAATCAGTCTTCTCCAGAACAGGAAAAATCTTGAGTTGTATTTAGTTTGGTAAGAAAGGCTTCAGGTATCTCCCAGAAAAACAGGAGACACTTAAAATTCAAACAATACTGTACTTTTATTGTTATTATTATGATGTCCATAGCATCATAATTGTAGAAGGAGATTGCAGAAAAAGTCTAAAAGTATTCCAGAGCAAGGTAGGAAACCTGTCTCCCAACGCTCACATCCATCCAGTTACCTTTATGAGTTGAAATACTGCATTTGCTCGTCATTTAGTAGGATTTTAAGGTAAAGGGGAATAAAGTTATAACAGTGGAGAGGTGACTAACAACTAATTAGACTCTTTATAAATAAATGAGCTTCTTAAACCTAAAGCTTTATACTTTTTATATAAAAAGACCAAAGTGTTTTGGGGAAACAAGATAACAGTTGCTTTGCAAATAATTACTTTCTATTAAATGTATCAGATCGTGGAGCTGTCAAAGCACTGCTTCCAATATTGCATTTGCTCCTCTAAAATGCAAAACATATAAATTTTGACATGGTTGGTTTTCTTAGATATATTTACAGCATCACTTCATGTCACAGTTACACAAATAAATAGAAATTAAATGGAGAATTCTAGCATTGCGAAATTTAGTAAGAATACTGAAAATGCTTCACAGGACCTCAAGAATACATCAGCTCTCTACTGCACACTACAAAATTTAAGACAACACAGTAACATCATTTCAACTTTTTTGATCATAACACAGCATTACATTAGAGCCGTACCGAATACATTTCTTTATGCTAGGCCTTGCGTAGAAACTCATAGAGCACTGAGGTGCTTGTGCGTTCAGTCTGACTTCAAGGTGAGGTGTGACATGTTATAACAAGCTATTTTTTTTATTTTTAAACAGAGAAGAGTAGTAATTTATTTCATAATTTCAGAGTCCTCAAAGTTAGCTTAGTTGCAGGTACTAGAAAGGGAAGCATGCTAGTTACTAAGTAACCCATGGAAGGTTATTCAGCACAATCCTTGTCTTCAGAAAGGTACTGGAAGGCAGTATTAAAAAGGCTTATTGAATAACAATTGTGCAGGCCTGCACCCCCGGGCTCCTGGAGTGCCCACAGCCATGCCAACCGCCCTGGGGGTTCGGCTAACCCCCCGCAGGCCTCGGCCTTCTCCAGCTCCGCCGCTGCCGGCCCGAGGCGGGAACTGCCCCGGCAGGACAGCACGGCTTCCCCAGACCTCGGCCGAGGCTCCAACAGCGAGACTGAGTGTAAGGAAACACACTTCACTCTGGTTCAGCCTTTTATTCCGGGAGGAGGAAAAACCGGCTTTTAAACGAGCAGCCCCACCTC